CTAAAAATGGACTTAAGTTGTAAAGGTAGTTGACAATGACATTTTCTACTTTCGAAAAAATCTTCTGTGAGGTCGGTGCAAAAAACAGAACCAAAGAAAAAAAAAAAAAAAAAAAAAAAACACAACAAAAAAACAAAGAGACAAAACAAAAAACAGACAAGGAAGGAGTAAAGGTGTTACACACAAAGAGCCAAGCAGGGCGTACTCAGAAATCGGGTCCTCCTGCCACCAGGCTTGAAGGTCACTCTCTCAGATGCACAGTTAAACTTCGCACAGCCTGTGAGAAAACAAAAACGGGAAGAACAGAGAAAGGAGAGGAGAAGAGACAGAAACACCACTACAAGATGTTAGCAACTTGAGGTTGGAAGGGTGAAATGCATTAACGTGACACACAAGAATAAGCCTCAAAGTGTGGACCAAAGAATACGTAGACAATATACGGAGTGAAGAGACTCCTCCTAATACCTCCCGACATTAGGCCAAGTTTGCAGTGCTGCTCTCCAGTACACAACCCAACAATTAGGTTGCAATCTAGAGGAAAGCCAAATCATGGCAAAAGCATAGAATTATAAAAGGTACTGCATAACTCTAGATACAGGGAGATGATTCGAGTAGCTCCAAAATACTCAAAACTGTTCATTAAAAGAACCTCTATAGAAAATTCTTCCCAAAAGTCTGTTTCCGCTTTCTGTCTGTAATTCTCCAATTTCAGCAAAAACACTCATTAGAATTGATGTATTTAATTAGTCTATGGCAAAGCTTTTCAAGAAGACATTCAAGGGTCAAAAAAAACTGGAACAACTAAGTTCAGAGAAGTAAAGGAATCAAGCTATCATCCCCTCTAATGACTGGCAAGCAAAAAAGCCCTCCCTACCAAAAAAATCAGAGCTGTGTCTGACAAATTATTTGATAACATACTAATAGCAAACAATCCACAACTTGAGTAAATGAACAATTGATTATTCCTACCATTCCATCCTCCTGTACTAACTCTTCCTTCCAGGATAATTCTTCAACTCACAGTTGGAGAACATGAGCCTATTTTACCCTTTTATTGTTAACAATTCCATTGGCAGAAACAGCCAAAGCAGTTTGGAAGTCGAAAAGGACTCTGACTCCTCAGAAATTTCCTACTGTTTAAATTATGTGTTAACACCAAAGCTGTTCTGCATCCCCTACATGCTCATCCTTTCAGCCAACACCTCTCCCTTTCATCAGCTGAAGGTTTCTTGCCACCACCACACTGCACTTTATATTCTCCTTGGGGCTTTCATTAGAGCAGACAGGGCCATGTGCTATATATTCATTACTTTAACAACCTCTTCGCTTCACCTATGTGAGAAGGTAGAATCCTAGTTAAAAAACACCCCATCAGCCTCCATGCAAAGCTTGGAGACTACCAATCTACTTTGTGTTATGTATTAAAAAAAAAAAATGTGTTATCATGTTAATCATTCTTTCACCAGTAATGAAGGTGCAAGACTTGACACTAATCCCATTTGAAGTCTTACCTTGGCCTGGTGCAGAAAGGCTTGGTACCGAAAGGGCACCATCACTGGTAAAGGCAGAGTAGAGGTTTTCGCTAGAAGGTGAAGGTTTGAGGGGCTGTAACAAATGGTTCTGCCCGGTCTCTGGCACACTACCAGGAGGATGAAGAGTCTGCTGTGGGGGCAAGACTGATGGTGCACTCTGAGCTGACAGATTGCCTAGAGGAAGAAGGAAGGCAAAAAGTCATTCAACGTTTCAGTTTCCTCACATCCTTTTCGAAGCTTCTGTCATTGTTCCCAAGGGACAGGAGAAAAAAAAAAAAAAAAATCAGAGGAAAGTTTGACCGGAATATTTACTACAGAATGAAGTCACTACCAAGGAACTCAAATGATCAGTTGAGCATTTGCATTAGTGATACAGGAAAAAAAAACAACAAAAACACAAAACTGATGATGGTGGGGAAAAAAAAAAGGTATCATCTTCTGGTCAAGCATGACAACCCAGGCAAGAAAGGGGGAGGCAGGGGGTAAGAACTACTCCAGTTTCTGAGAAAGCAGTAAGACTAGAAAAATTCTTAATTACTGAAGTTTTAATGCAACTCTGTGCTAGCTCACTGTCACACGCTCACACGTAGCTCCCCTATCACATAACAAAACAGGAGTGAACAGCCAGGGTGGCTGGATACAGAAATTGCAGCATGACGTGGAATTACCAAAGTGAACATGCAGGAAGCAGTAACAAATATTTCTGCTCACAGTGCTGGCCCTCCAAAACTGTTTACTCAATGCTACAGGATTTGAGACATCTACAATTACCCAGCAAGAATCTGACATCCATGTCATTCAAATAGTAAACAGAACTATTTTTCTGAGTTCTGTTTATTCTAAAAATGGGTTTAGTAAGAAAGGAAGCCCTGACATTTGGAACTGTTTCTCAATTTGTAAGTACAATAAAATTTCAACTCCATTAAAAAAACCCCACTACTTAAATAGCCATCAACTATGACTAAGTTTCTGAAGTGTAAGGACACTAGTAATACCGTGCTTAAGTACTCCTGAATTAGGAAAAAAAAAAAAATATCTGAAGATGACTGAAGAGACCAGCCCATTCAGCAAAATCAGTTTCAGGAGGCAACAAGACTAGTTTGGCTTTTTAAAAAAAAAAGAAAAAAAATAAATCAAAATTTTCTCCCATTCTGTAAATTTACACTTTTCTTCCTAGTCAGAGCCCTATGACTAAACTCTAAAAATACAAATCACAACTTTAAGACTGCTCTTACAGAACAATGTGACAGTCTCTTTCAGTAGATGACAAAAGTCACAAGCAAGAGTACCAAACAGCAAAAACAATTTCAAAAATGAGCTAGTAACCCAGGTAATGGAGGAACTGGGACATACACCCCCCCCTCCAAAAGACAAGACAGAGACAGACACAGGTCTAAGAATGTGAGATAGTACCTTGCCTGTTTTATCCACTCAAAAATAAAAAAAATGAAGAGTCTTACCTGATAGCTGAGGGCTCTTATTTCCCTGGGAGCTGCTACGACTGGACTTGCTGCTTTTTCCTTTAGTAGGTCGTCTCCTCCTTCCCGAAAGGGGTGCAGCTGGGGGAATAATTACTGCAGGTGGGGCCTTTCCCAACTTCATGTACAGTGACTCAATCTCCTGCTTCTGGCGGCTCTGCAGCTCCTGGATCTCTTTAAGGTGCCTAACAAGTCACAAGAGAGTATGACTTACAAAAATTATATGTATATGCACACATGCATACAATCCCTCCCCCCTCCAGTCAGCTCCTTAAACTCCCATTAACATTTAAGAAAGGAGGAAATAACTCTTTTCCACAAATAACCACTGAACGCCTGGGGCAGAACACTTGCCATTTTCCATTGTGCCCTAACCCTGGCTAGAATTCCAACACGAAGTTCCCAGCATTGTAAGAATAAAACCAGGATAAATGGAAGTACAAACAGCATACATCTAGAAGATAAAACCATTCAGCATTAAAATGCTCCAGGAATAGCTAGATTGCTCATTTTCTGAGATGTATGGCCTTGAAAACTTCTACATTTGTATATCCTCAGGTTTTTTTTTCAGAGCAGTTGCATATGTAAGATTTAAAATTGCTAGCTGCCCTAAAAAATGTTCAACTTCCAGCATAAATAACTTAGTAGGTCACATTGCTTGACTTTAAATTCTTCAGGAAAAGGAGAACCATTAGACCTGCCAGAAACGCATATCAGAAACAGAGAGAGTTGCATGTCATTTTTAAATGAGACACTACTATTCTCACTAACTATTAAACTTCAGTGATATTGCAAAAGCTTCTACACATCTGTAGCCTTATCCACAGTGCTGCAATCAATCTACATATAGACACATGCAACAAGGCTACAGGTTAGAAAATCTGGCACAGCAAACATCTAAAAACCTTTTTTGTTATAATTACGTACTGCTTTCCCACTAGAGAATCTTACTTCCCACATAAACACTGACAATAGGTCCTGACACTGAGCAAAGGTTGAGTCTTTTTAAAAGTTTACTTTTGTTCTTTGTGAAAAGTAAAGTACAGATGAAATTTATATTAATCCTATGACATATTTTACATACATTAACACAGGGAAAAAAGCCTTACTTCTCCCGTAACCGACGGAGTTCCAATTTCAAGTCTTCATCTTCAATATCGGACTCGTTATCGCTGCTCATGTAGGAAGAGTTGAAGGAGTTGCTAAGGCTCTGAACAGGGAGGCTGATCTTCGAGCCCATGGGCTGGAGGGAGTCTGGGCTCCCCGAGCCATCATCGAAATCCTTCGCCATCCCGCTCAAGAAGGCGGCCTCCGGTTCAGAGGAGGGACCGTTCATGTGTGGGGACTGCCTTGACTCCAACTCTTTCTTCGGAGTTGCAGCTGAAGCAGCAACTTGTTCCAAGTCCACAGAGAGAGGAAGAGTCATTGGTTCTTTCTCCGCACAGCTGACCTCATCCTGAGTCTTTGACACCGAGAAGCGCCCCACTTGATCCGTCGTTGTTGTTACCTGGAAGCGCCCGACCTTAGTAGGCTGCCCAACATCTACTGGTAATTGCAGCACAGGAACTATCTGAGGAATGCCATCTGCCACATCCAAAGAGGAGTCAGTGACAGCCTCACTTTTCCGACTGCCAGACTGCTTCACCAGTGTGCTCTCTGGGCTACTGCCAGAAAGAGATGAAGAATCAGTGGAGGTGGTTTCAAACTGCACCGGCTTAGCTTCAGGTTTGTCACCCTCTTTCAGCACATCATCCACTGCCACAGACACCTAGAATAGAAACACAGTCATGCAGACAGCCTTAGTTCTTCCTTAACGTGATGCTTTTATTTACCTTAATAAAAAGATACATCTGAGAGGGAAAAATAACTCTTTTTCCTTGGTATGCCACAAAGCAAACTACCGCTTCCCTCCACGTAACCCACTGCCACAAAAAATACTACTTCTAAGCAATCTGGAGGATTAACTCCAAGAAGCACCGTCGATTCAGAGGGGACTTTCTTCAAAACCAGAAATTAACACAGTGAACACCCGAGCACTGGTAGCCAACAAGCAGCTGACATTTGAGACCAAGGCCAACAGTTACACAGCTAAGACCTGACATGAAGAAGTGTTGTGCCCACAGTTCTGGTCCTGCGTAATCCAGTGCAACCTCTGCCCAGAACTCAAACAGCATCTGCACAAAGCACTGCATTCACAAGTTCAACATGGACGTTTTCCCCCAAGAGAAAAGCCCACCATGAGGCGGGCTGAGCTGGCACTACCCAGGAACTGCTCAGCAAAGATCCTGTCTCAACAACCAAATTAATTTAACATCTCCTACCTGAAACCGTCCCATCTTAAGAACCCCGGCTCCTGCTGTGGTAGCCACAGCACCGCTCTCTCCACCACTTGATGCTGAAGCTAAGGAAAAGGAGAATGGGATTAAAGAAAAAACTGAGCAACAAATTATTTGAACTCCAAACATTTCTTTTTATCTACTTCGAACTCAACTATCAGTTAACTCCTCATAGGCCTTTGAATTCATGGAACCTGACCTCTTTTTTTCAACTTTACTATCAAACTGCAATGTTAAAATGAAGTATTTTTCTATGAATTTCCCTTGCACAGTATACTTACTAAAAATGCACTTTTAGATAGCTGTAAAAAAAAGCACATTGAGCTCAACCAGGGACGTGAAACAACCAAAGAATAAAAAGCAGAACTGAAATTTATGTAAGAAAAAGCTTATTTTAATTCAATACCCACACACCAAGTACCTAACCTTCACAAACACTGGGGACAACTTATTAATAGAAAAGTAGTAAGTTCAAGAAATGCTATTAACCACATTTACTCAAAGCAGTCTATCAGAAGCTTTCAGAGCTGGATTCTTAGGTGTCAGCTCCTAATTTTGTTGCTGTATGCACTGGCAGCATAAGGTTACAAAGCTGAGAAATAATATTCTATTTTTATATCAGTTCTATTGGGCAGCTTGCTGTTGTTTATTAAGCAACTTCTCAGCTTGTTTACTTTGACCTTCTAAACTTTAGCAGGCAAAATCCAACTTGTTTTCTAGCAGACAAATGAGTTCTATAGTATAGTTCACTACTGACAGACCAAAATGGGAATATTTTATTTTCCAACTGGTTTTATCAGCTTTTGAAGGTTTGTCGTTGAACTTCAGAGGCACATTCAAGTTAAATAATGTTTACTAAATATTCGTAAATAATTTTAATACCACATTAACAGTTTCTTTTAAAAATGAAAGATTTTTAAAATTAAAAGTTGGGGGAATATTGACAGGAAAATCTCAGACTATTTTGCAAGTTGTTGGGGGTCCCTCCCCCCCTAATTGAACTCATTTAGATTTGAAGGTCATTGATCATTCAGACTTCAGTTGTTGATCATCCAGGGAACCTTCAGTTCTAAAGCAGCGAGAAGGATGTCTGGTTTTCCTACTACCTTTCTTAATTTTTTTAGTAGTTTAACCTTCATTTCTCTATTTAAATAGAAAGGAAACACTCTTAGGTTAGGAAGAGGTATCCTACATAGAGCACCTGGCATGATTATGCAAGATGAGAAGTCTTACTGTTGTTGCCAAGAACATAACGGAAGACAGAAAATATTTCCCTCAAATCCTGAAGCTGTACCTTAGCAGCATACTGGAGATTCTTTGCAAATCTTAATTTAGCATTTTGGACAGCTTTAAATCCTAAACGAGTTACTATAATATGCATATACCATTCCCTTCTCCTGGCCTACAGTGGAAAATTTCAGTCTAATTACTAAAATCTAATACGATCCCTAAGAAATTGCCACTATATGATTTACTAAAAAGACTATGTCCTTCCGCGTTGCTAATCTGCTCAATTTTGGATTACATTTCCATGGTGAGGAAACCATCTAAAATAACCAAGGTTGTCTTACCATCCTTCAGAGACTGTGTTGCTGTGGACACCAGCCCGATAACCGTTGTAGATGCTACTGAGGGCACGGACTACAGGTTCAAGGGGGAAAACAAAAACAAAATTAAATTAAAACAATCAGCAGTTTGATTGAATGACAACAAGTCAACCACACTACACAATCTTTTATTTCCACTAGGGTCAAAGTGTGAGCCACAAGATGAGTTTTTAACCTCCAAAGCAAGCAACATCAGCAAGAGGCTTTGCACACCTTACAACCCCAAGGCTGTCGGCACATCCCCTTTGCTTTGCAGAACTAATGCTTAAGAAGCCACTTGGAGATCCCAATACCAATCATCATCTCCATTTTGAATCAGAGTTTTTATTCTAGTCTTCTAAAGTATCAGATCCACACTTTAAACATCCCTCCCAAATTAAGACTGACAGATCACATACTGCTTGTTTAGTGCTCTTTACCCTTAACTCCACAGTCACTTCCCCTTCTAGTTTGGTGACATTAATGACATCACCAGAAATGCTGGATTAAGAACTAACACCAAAACCAGCCTCAGGAAGTACATAATTTGTTTCAACATACAGATTTTTCCTACTAATTTGGTTGACTCAGTCCCACAAACTGGAAGATGACTCTTCATTTTTATTTTTAAAAGTCTAAAGACTGTAGTGATATTAAAGGCAGTGACCTAAGAGCACGACCTTGAGGAAACAGTGAAGTTTTTCAAGACTACTAAACTGCCAACATTGCAAACATACACAGGCAGGAGCAGATGTCACTGGGACGGTCTCTGGACTGAGGGTTCTTCTCAGCTTAGCATCCAGATCTTCCAGTGGCTGCTGGGACTGATGAGAAAGGGAAGAATAAACAGCTGTCCCAGCTCAGAAGAAACACATCACATTTGAGAAACAGCCATATTCAATACTAAAAACTAAAGCAGTCAGTACAGCTTCCATATTTCTATCATGTTCCCTTCCTACATGTTTACATTTAACACGTATAGCACAGTAAGACTGGAAGCAATTTAGGCAACTCATTTGGTTAAAAAACAGAAAGGCAGCATCAACTGGAACTTCTTTTTTTCCTGAAGTTATTATCAAGTTTGCATCCCCACTCTTAAGAGCTAAGCAAAGATGCTGCAGGCCTCCAAGTTCTATGTTTTTTGGTTGAAGGATAACAGAGGTAATTTGTGTTATAGATTATCTAAAACATTGAAGAAGGTCAATTAGAAAAAAAAAAAACACAGAAAAATTCAAAAAGATGCCCACAATTTCAAAAGCAAGCATAGATAAAGCAAAATTGATGATGATACAAATTTTAAAAATAAAAAGAAAGCCCCACAACACTTAAAAGTTCCTTCAAACAAGCTCTCTGGATGGACTGATGAAGAGAAGGAAGGGAGAGGGGCAGAATCTCTCCCAAGTATGCTTATTACTTAGATCTCAGCTGTTTGAGTTGGCATCCAAGATGTTTTTCAAACTTGGCCAATTGAATTGAGGAGGGAAAGAGCAGATGATTTACCTAAAAATATCTTAAGATAACAGAAGATCAGATTCACTCAAAATTATTAATTAGGGGCCATAGCCATAAGATACATACAGAAGAAGAAAGTGTTGGCAGATATCACTAAGTTGCAATTCTGACTCCATGGAGCAGAAATTTCCATCCAAACATTAGCATGGTTAATCTTTCCAAGTCCTTTTATATTAAAAGGCTAGATGTGTTTTTATATCTGAAGCTGAGGTCACAGCAACATAAAAACATTATCTTCCAAGAAACTGAAAGTTAGAGGCACATGATAACATAAAAATGCTTTCAAACAGGTTGCCAGGATGACATTCATCTAGAATTGCTGATTTCAAAACACAATCAAAAAACCTACAAACAATAAACCCCTTATCGACTCCATCCAAGTTTTTAAAAAAGAACACAAGGAGATGCCAACTTCTACAACTCCATTCAGAATCCTAGCAGACAGGGGAGCTAATTTAATTCAATAATTTTATAAAATAAAGAGGACATTTCACCTGAAATTCTGTGTAATTCTCATTGCATGCTCACAAGAAGATATTTGCTTCAAGTAAACAAAGAGCTACCAGAATGATCAGGAAGATTTCCTTATGAAACAAGGATACCAAAATGAAGCTTGAAAAATTAATCTAAGTACACTCTAAAAAGCAATTAAGGAATAAACAGAACAGGTATTTAAGACTAAGGAACAAACTGTCCAAAACTGGTCTTGAGATGACACGTACTTAGTCTGTAAATTAGGTGTTTGATACTAAGGAAAGGAGGAAAAAAAAAAGTTGAGTAATGAGCAACTGAGAGAAGCAGCAAGGAAGACAAGCCTAGTAATTTTCCAGATAGTATTATGTGATAGCAGCAAATGCTCTTAACAGTCAATTACATTTGATCCAGTTGGCCTCCTCCAATTTTGTTTCGCTCCTAGACAGGCTTTAGAGTTCAAATGAGAAGTGAAATTAGGCAAGCTGTTTGCAAAGGACAAGAAGCAGGGGATCTATATTTGTGCCTCTTCCATACCACAAATCCTGCCAGAAATACCTATGACAAACAGGAAGAAGCCTTTTTGCAGTGGAACAGTGGCTTAAGTCACGGAAGTGGCTACAAGTGCTTAGAGTTTGGGGAAAAATATTACTAATACACCCAATTCCAAGCAATGACAATAAAAAGGACTATGAACTTAGTGTGACTGATTTTAACCAGCTGCCTCCAGATCCGTTTGCTACCCTTGCTCATGGGACCAGCACAAATTTCTGCCTTTAAGCACTGAATAATACTTTCCAAGTGCTGACTGTTTCTCATTGCCCACAAAAGATTTAAACATGCTTTAATTAAAAAGAAGAGACAATCAAGAAGTAGTTCTGGATGCAGAGTCCATCTGCAAGGGCTCCTTGATTAAGGTCACTGATTTGCGTTTGCTCCATCAGATGAAGACCAAGAAGATGGTAGAGCAGGCACCACTGGGTGCCCGCTTGAATCGTATCTTCTTTACAATTTTGAATAGAAAACTGGGATGATAATTCTGTGCCAAGTGTACTTTAATACAATTCTATAGAAAGCCATCTTTGTATTTATTCACAAACTTCTTCCAAAAGCAGCACAACTAGACCTCAATCTCATCATCTCATGGGGCTTTTTTGGTTATTTTTTCAGCTTTTCTTTGCATATTGAACCATAGTGTTCCCACGTTGCATCTCGTTACACAGCAGTTAGAAGATCCATAAAACAGTTTTGTCTTAATACAGTTCTTTCAATTATAGAAGAGGGTGGGGTGGGGGGGTGCTCTATTTTTTTAAACAAAAGCGAAGACAGATTTAGTATTTGTGGTCTTGAGCTGAACACCTCTCCAGTTTACATCCAAAATATCCAAGCTAACTCTTGCATACAAGGACAGAATCTGAGCAAGGGAATCAACTGTTACATTTCAACTCATGTTTATGATCAGGAGCTTCAAAAGACCTTTTACAAACCTGAAAGCCTACTGAAATCAGAGTGTAGTAATAACTGGGGATAAAAAAAAACAACCAAAAAACAACAAACCCAAGGAATTCGCAAAGCCAGCAATTTTGTATTTTCATTAATGTTTAATTGCAGTATATACTGCTTCCCTAAAGAGCTATATCGCTACTGTACCCTTTTAAAGAAGAAAAATGGTTCAAATTCTATGCACACTCACCTGTGTTACTTTTTTTTTTTTAAAGAAAAAAAACCTCTGTAGTTCAGGTTAACACACTAAAACACTCCAAGCCTGATTAATCCTTCCTCTACTTCAAACACTGGATCCATCCTTTGCCCGGCACCCAGTGTTGAAGTGACTCTGGCTACAGCTACAGTTACACAAAAGGGGTTACTCAGTCAAAAGAAAAGAAAAACAAAGACATTAATCACATGCAATGGAGGGTTTAATCCAAACATGCTCTTTGAAAGGAAAAGAAGCAGACAAAAATCTGCAGAGTCGTGTAGCACCTGAGTTAGTGAAGGTCCTGGAAAAGGTGGCAGCGGCTCACTGGATGGAGTGCCAGCCGGAAGTTCAGAACCTACTGGTAGCACCTATGGATAACGAAGAGGAAACGCGAGTCCATCAGACACGGAACAACAGAAGGATCAGATACCAAGCTACAGTCACTCATGTCATAACAACAGAAGCCTCAACATTTTTTCCTGTAGAGACTTCCTTCCTGGAGAGTTAGCATAGAGTCTGTAGGGATTTTTGCAATAAAGTTGGGGGAAGTTGTTTGTTTGCTTTTGTGCTATTTTTAAATCCAGATTATCTTTGAGTGGCCACAATTTCCAGTTTAAACAAGCTGCTGTGTCCAGGAGCAAAGTATCTTGGAGATATTATTTTCAAGTCTCCAAGAAATGCTACAATACTCCTTCCAAAAAAGCAATTAATTTTCCAAAAAGCTGAATTTATAAAAGGGTGCAAGAACACACTCAATCTCCTTACAACAGATCTATGTTAACTGTCCATTAGGAACAGCAGGCTACGTTCTTCTGGCAAATTGTTCCAAGCAATATGACTTGAGAAGAGGAACTGCCATGCCTGAGGATATCCCCACTTGTTGAGAGGCAGATTTATAGATCTCTCCACCAATTTCTCAATCCATCGCTTTTTTTTCTTTTTTTTTTTGAACCTGAAGGGTGTTGATGACCCACAGAAGACGACCAGGCCATGCAACTGGGTAGAGGGAAGTCATCCAGGTTACATGAAAGAGGTTAGAGAGACCAGAAAGGTTAGAAGGAGACATCAAAGCCTCCCCGCCAGGTCAGATAGCACATTCCAGTTAGTTATTTCCATTGTTAGGGAAGTGGGAAGTTCTAGGAATTAAGTGATCCATTACACAATTTGCAATTCTTATTCTCAGCTGTAATCTTGAGGCTTGAGACTTTGAAGTTTGAGAAATGCACCAGAGCCTTATGAGCTACAGCACTGGTCAGTTGGCTCCCCTTGTGCAACAGCGAGCGCTGCTGGGTACGTGTCACTGGCCCAAAGTCTACACCCGTCCTCAACAAGAAGAACCAGTTCTAACTTGCAGTCATGTTACCACAGCTTAACTAATAGTTCAAATTGCAGTAATAACTGCCTGGTGAAGATACATTCCATAGTTATCCATCCTTCCAAAAATGTTTCGGCAGGAATTACACCAAGTTGCATTACCTCAACTTTTTTGTGCACTAGGAACATACACGTGGACATTACCTGTTCTGAGGCATGATGATTTTTTAAGCTGTGGTAAGCTAATCATTTAGTTTATAAATAAGAGGCAAAATATACTGTAAGTAAATTCATAAGACAAGTCAAAACCCATGTAACTGACTAGGTTAACAGGCTGGCCACAAACAAAATGTAACACACTGAGTTTAGTAAACCCCAGAAAAACTAAGGCAATAAGCTCCCTAAAGCTCAAAACCAACACAGAAATCAAAACTAAAATTAAGCTTTGAAAAAAAACCAAACTAATTTATAAGTGAAAACTTCAGCAGTAAGGTAGTTTTTTCACAACCAACAATCAAAACCCCCAAACTTTTATTGCATTTGAACCCAAGCCTTTGCAATTACATGTTTGCAATTAGCAAGTTTCTAACTGCTCCAACTGTTCCTGAACCAATACCAGTTTTTATGATATTCTTATCTTTCTTTTCTAATTCTGAACTTCATTTCAATATAATGAAATGCACCTGGATTTCCTTCCCAACTTCATCGGCACTTATTCCTGCTCCTCCATGGCAGAAATTTTCAACTTTGTTTAAATACAAAGAGGAACAAGAGAAAGACTACTAATGAATGGAGACATTGGGAGCAGTAGCTCAATTCAAGTGGCCTGAAACTGGCTAATAGCAAGACTGGCCAAAGAAGACAAACACCAAGTGTTGGTGAGTGGAAAAGTGTTTACAGAAACAAAAGGAAGTGAGGATTAAGCTTTTCAGTTTGTTAAACACCTGAAAGTTTCTTCAGCCAATTTCCATTTAACTTTGAAAAGGAAAGGGCCACCAATATTTAAAATACTTTAAAATGCAGAGTCTCCCAACACAGGGAGCCATTTAAAAGAAAACAGGTAGCCTCATTTCACGTATTTATACTTCTGGTTAATGAGCAGGTAACAACATCCACAACTTGTCTCAAGTTGTTACTATACATCATTAATATCTCTTTATGAAAGAGTGTTTGTTTAAAGAGCATGATTCAGTAAACAAGAAAGTTCATTTATGGAAATTCAGATATCTTTTAAACTTCTCAAAATTCTGATTTCACAAATGTAACTCTTGGAAGGAAAAGAGTATCCAGGCACCACATAAGCAGCAGAGGACTTGAAAAAAGAAAATCTACAAAAAAACCCAACAAACAAACCACAAAAAAACCCCTTTCAGTCAGGTTCACCCTTGCCTTGAAGGAACAGGCTAATGACAAGAAGCAAAGCTAAGCTATCCTGACTACTTTGTGAAACATACTACCACTCCGTCTCATTCTAGTGATCATGTACAAGGTAAAAAAATCTGTTTAAGGCAAGCCTTCCAAATTCTATTTAAAAAAAACCACCCCAAAACCAAGCAGCCACAGTTGCTTCACTCTTTGTGCTTTAGGAGTAGGAAAAATTAACATCAGAGAGCTCTTCGAGGCACAATATAGAATTGGACTTTTTTTTTCCCCCCAATATGGACAAAATAAAACACCTCTTGAGACACATAAACTTTCAATATTATATAAAATGAAGACACCTCTGCCTAAATAAATATTTTGCTTTATAAAAGGGATTTTTCTCAAGAAGGCTGTTTCCTACGATACTTGAACATTCACACAAATGTTGCATTTCTTACCGGTACCCTGCTAAGTGGGGGCTTTGAAGGAGAGGTCCCTGGTTTCACTACAGCTGTTGCAATGCTGCTCGATGCCGAAATATAGCTGACCGGGGTGATCCCTTGCCCAGGAGTGGCAACTGGTGTCAGCACTGGCAAGCCAGTTGGTCCAAGAGGCAAACTGCTGGGAGGTATACAAGTGCTAATGGATGTCAGGGGTTTGGTTGGTGCAACAGCAGTGGTTGGTATCCCAGGAATAACTGTAGTATCCATTACCAATGATGTCTCCAGAGATACTGATGGATGCGTCGTTCCCACGTTGCCGTGTTCGCTGAAGAGAGACCGTAGCTTTTCCTCCAGGGTCTTTATATCATCGATACCAGGAGCTTTAGACTGAGCATCAGCATCAGCCTCCAGGCAGTGGATGTGAGGCTGATTGGGTAACGGAGCTGGTTGAGGCTGGCTGTGTATCAAAGTCTGCTGTACAGCGGGCAAGTTAGTCACCGGCTGCGGTAAGACACCAGGTAAGGGAACCTGGGGCAACATGGGTGTTGCACCTGGAATCTGGGGTAGGACAGGTGTTGATGTAATTCCTGATGGGACAAGTAAGGGATGTATCACCGGTTGAGCGACTGAACCACATATGCTTGTTGCCACTGAGGATGACAATGGTGCAGAAATTGGAAGAGATAAGCCAGCTGCACTGCAGAGCTGTGATTTATCCATAGACTGCCCACTCTCAGGTAGTGGCTGTGGGGCACTCACAACTGTTGTTTCTGCCAGATTGGAGACAGAGCCACTGCTACTAAGATGAGGAAGCTGCAAAGCCACATTCTGAGGCAGGGACAGGGCAACAGATGTCTGTGGTCCTGCCATACTACTTACAATCTGCGGAGGAGACTGAGATGTCACAGCTGGTGCAACACCACCAACACCAGTGACACCAGGAACCTGGGTAGATGGCAGTGCCAAAGAAGACGGTGTGCTGATACTGGGAGCAACATCTCCAGTTACTACTGGTTGAGCAGGCTGGGATGTGGTAGGTAAGGAGAAAGAAGCAGGGGCGCTCACACTGGAAGCGACACCAGTCGATTGCTGTCCAGATTGTGAGGCTGGAGGTGGAGAAACAGAGCTTGGCACACTTGCGCTCGGTGCAACCCCAACAGAGGCACCTTCTGAAGGCAAAGTAACAGATCCTGGAAGAGAAACACCTGTGCTGGAGGGAACAGATATTGAAGAAGCAGCCACAGATACAGGAGCTGCACCACTGCCTGCCATGGTAGAAAGTGCAGGTGGAAATGGTGGTACTGTTTGATTGAACACTGGAGGAGCAGTACTAGGTCCTTCTGTCATTTGAGCATGCCCCATCTCAGAGAAAGCTTGCTGCAAGCTCAGTGATGATGCGGAGTGGGAGAGATTCATTCCAGGACCATGTAGTGGAGATGCAGCAACTGCAAGAACAGAAAAATGTCAGTCCACACGGAAAAGCTCATCGCAGTATTATTGTCTATTGCTAGTCTTAAATCACATCTACCTCTCAGCATAATAAAAAAAAATTACAAATCCAGGCTTAAAGTACAGAATTAATGTTTCAGAGGCTTGCAGACAGCCCATCAACATTCCCTCACCTCACCACGAAGAATCCTGCATAGTATCACCCAAATTATAATCACTTTTTACCAGCACAAACAGTTCCTTACATCCTCAAGTATTTTAAGAGGTGTTTTGAAACAGTTTAGTTAACTAACTTCACAGTTTTGATGAATATGCCTTAGCCATCCAATTTTAAGAGTTCGGATTACTTACCTAAATCCGAAGTTTCTTTTCCTCCAGGAACAGCAGATGTGAAAAAGCCCTGTTCTTTTAACCGACTCTCAGGAACAGGGCTGACAATAAACCGTCTTCCTGCAGAATGGACAACCTGGGTAAAGGAGCTAGGAGGAACCCCTAAACAGAAAGAAGTTAGATGTTTAGTTATACAAGGTTGTAACTAAATCCATAACCTGCAATATGGAATGTGCACTCCATCATACAAAATAAAAACTTGGCTGCACCCATCCGCTGAAACAGAAAAAGATAAATCACAAAAGACTTACCTATTCTTTGTGGCATGGAAGATGTAGGATCTGGCTGTTTGAACTCTAATTTCTGTAAAGTAAGATAACATTTAAAGTTCTATTCTGAAACAGAAACCCACAAGATAGCTCTTAAAATGCTAGCTTACTGCAATGTGGGCATTTAAGGTAAGCAGTACCTTGGACCCAAGCACCATGACCAAACTAGTGGAATTCTGCCCAGGTTAAGTGTCAGCTACGGTGCTTTTGGAGCTTTTCAGCTTAGTGACCATCAATACAACAAATTGACCTAAACACTCTTTTGTTAATAGGCACTCCAACTGATTTTTTTTTTAAACTTCCCGCAGAAAAATGGATGTTTTAAACTAGTTCTGAGTGGAAATAAGGCAGGGATTCAGGAAATGTCACCCCTTATTCCCAACAACCAATTTCAAAAAACTGTGTTTTATAACCAAGCCATCCAATCTCTTAGTAGCTCACTGGATAGAGGGCCTGAGTCCAGGCACTCAGTGTTTAGTGAGCAGCCCAAGGCTGGGGGTTTTAGTGTTCTGCCTCACAATAAACTCAAATCCAAGAAGCCTCAGCATTTAAGACTGTCTGCTTAGTGGACTGTTAGGAGACTCAGCAGCTTCAGAAGTGTTAGAACATGGCAAAAACCAAAAGGTCAATGCTATTTAGCTCTCTAAATGAATTTTAGGCTCTCGCCCTGATATGAAGGTTTCTCTGTTTGTCTTTTAATTTTTAAGCTTTGAAATTTCTCATGAAGTAAAGTTTCAGTTTATAGCTAGCTCTACTCACAAAACCATACCACCCAAAATGGAAAATACAAACAGCTAAGACAATCTGTCCTTTACGTACCTGCGACCCTGGAAAGAAGCCATCATCTTTTGTCCTCATACTCTCCAAACCCTGATCACCTTCTGGCTCCACACTTACGTCCTCACTCAGCATTTCATCTGCTTTCTCAATAATCTCTCGTACCTGTTCTACGAATGACTCTCTCTCTGTTGCTAAAATAAACTCATTCTGCACCTGTAAAGAGAACAAAGCAACAATAATTTTCCACAAATTATTTCAAAAAATATGTATTTAATAACCAAAATTTACTTTCAGCGTTACTGTTTGTCCTCCCTTCACTGTTCTTTTGCACAAGATAAAGATGGTGACACTGCAGAGAAAAACAATCGTTTCTAAAATTATCTCCAGCACATAATTATTTGCCCTGGTTTATTCTTTGCTGTGGAACAACAGTCAATCTCAATTCTTCATCAAACTGTCACCTCAGTCTTTGCTTAGCACAGTGCAATTTAAAATTAGCAGCCTTATCTCACTGCAGTTCCTCATATCCAATGTAATGTACATTAAGAGCCACATTTAAAGGAAACTGTAACATTAAACAGAAAGTTGAAAATTCTGTATAGCAAGATGTCTTCTGTGCTTCTCTCTTTCCGTGCCATATAGGACTTCTATTCTACGCAGGTTGCACATCACTAACTCAAAGTCTGGCTGTAGTACATAATTGCAAGTATTAATTATGTTCCCTACATGGGAAGAAGAAGGTTGTTCAGTGTATCTAGTTTCAATACATCGTACTGCTTTACAAAACTGCATTCTGCTGTTTATGTTTGAGGAAACAAGCTTAAACAAGTATCCTTGGCATTTAGAAAAAAATTCTTAGTTCAGTCTCTGCCCCCTGAGAAAATTCTGTCTTCTGAAATAACACATGCTAAAACTCTCAGAGATAATGAGTCTGTGAAACAGAAGTTAAAGCTGTCAGTCACAGTATCTCTGCTGGAAAAAAAAGAGAAAATGCCTTAGAGGTAAAGCCCAAGATTTTGTTTTTACATCAAGTTTCTGGGATGCTGGTTCAGAAAAAAGACAGGCATGAGTGATGTGCTTGTATCAGCACCTTGCCATTTTAGTTCAGAACAGCAGCAAAAACTCAAAGCTTAAGCATCAGTTTTAAAGATCTAGCAATGTTTGCTCTTAAAGCAAAGAGAATTTGTTTAATCTGGGACTTTCACAAAGTTGTTCATCAACTGAGCATGCAATATTAGCAGTCAATTTGGTATACCACTGTGTGCCTACAGTTTCTGTTTGTGCTTGTGTACCAATAAGGTGAGCACAGGCCATGCTACATGGAAGAGCAATTCTGAAAACACAAATGAGAAAATAAGACTGCTTATGTTACTACTGTGATTAAGATTGGATTCAATTCTTCATCTCTAAAACATATCTTACCATAATTAAAGCTATTTCCTCGGGGTTGTCACCATCCAAATCAAATTTGAAAGTAACCATTTTCCGATTGTGTGTCTCCAGCTGGCATTCCACTACCCGATCACCTTTATTTGAAACCTAAAGCAAAAAAACCCAGTAGTTCAAATCAAAAGCATGATATTATAAGACTTGAGCTTTAAAGCTTACAGGACAAACCAACAGTATTGGTCTAATAGAAACACATTCTGTCTTTCCAGTCTAATAAACGGTGCCATGTACAACATCCGTTTTTCTGATGATACATCAATTATTCTAGAACAGTCTATGGAATCACTAGTAGCTAAACAAGCAAGTCTGCCACATCTAACACTCCAAAAAGCTCTTGATAGATGATGTATGGAATACTGACTCCAGAAGCAGAAGAAATACATTACACAGCTTGTGTGATTGCAGTGGGGCACGGCACCAAACAAGACACACATTCCTCAAAGTGAAACAAACACTTTTTGAAGCTCAAAAAAGGCATCATCACTACCAAACTATCACTAAACTATAAAAATACTCACATTTAGAATTCTCAGTTTTGGCCTAGCAGTCTTCTCATGGCGAGAGCGACTGCGGACAGACCTCCTCATATGACGTTTGGTAGTCCTCCCTTCGTGCCTTCCACTGGAAGCTGGAACATTCTCGTTGCCATCACTCAATCCTGAAGCAACATCAGAATGTGCACTAAAAAGAAACAAAACACAAAGCATTTTACATTAGTATCCACGCACTCCATAACCACAACAATACAGTCCACCCTACCAGATGGTATTCTCTTCTGGATAGCAGTATATGCCTGTTAATTGCAGAGTAGGGGAGAAGAGTCCTGTCAACACTTAGGGTTGCCTGAATAGCAATTCTAATAGTAATTATTTAGCTACATATCTCTTGCAAACTGAGTGGTACAAATATATCTTCTGAATATGTTTTCAAGCTATTTGGAGTTTGAATTCTGCTTAAGTGCCAAAAGGACAGAAAAACATCCCTTATGCTCCATTTGACATGACAAATAAAAAAGGATTAGAAGTTAAATCACTATACATAATCATATTTACTCCCTCCATGCCCTGCTCGAAATCAAAACTTACTCCAACTCTCATAAGCCTATTTTTCCTCTAGGAAGTTTATTTCCTCACATCCTCAAGAACACCCTCAGTGAAAAAAATATCCCCAGGTGAAAAAAAAGATACCTAAAGATCACCCAAGGAAGAATAATCTAACACACATGAAACTGAAATTAAGTCTGGTGAAAACAATGCTTACCTATCCATAGAGGAAGCCAAAGGGGTAGACAGAGCAGGCTGTGTTGCTGGAAGAGTCTCTGAAGGAGCAGTCTGTGAGACTCCCTGAGTACCCTATGGATAGACATCTCCATCAAGAACCACCCCCAAGGAACACCGTTCCTTTTCAAGTAACCCAGTAGTCCTCAATGTTTCCTCCCAAATCAGTTGTAAAGCTAAAAGCGCTACCTTTTTAGCGTTTCAAACAGATGGCATCTAGACAGCTCTAATTTACAAAAGATTCTAGAGCAAACTGCAGTGAAGCAAATCATCATCTGGGGAGGGGTGGGGAGAGGAAATCAGCCATCCTTTCTGCTGTTACGCGTCACTACAGTTTGCCATGCAGCCAGAGTCTTACTAACAGAATGTGCAAAAGGCAAGCCAATGCAGAACCCAAAGACAATTCAAATTGTCCCTGGCAAGAACAAACGCTGCAGGGAATAGGCACAACGACAGATTCTCCAAGGTTATCAGTTGCACTTTGCCTCTGATATGGCAAAAAAATTTCTATAGTACTAGCAAGAAGTGAAGTGTTAACAGGTTTTTGCCTGCAGGATGCACACTCACTTCCCAACAGAACAACCAGTGGCAACAAGGTCCCCACATTGGCATGACATTCTGCTGTAAGAAAAAGGTCATTTGAAATATTAATTTCCAACTGAAGACAAGCACGGAAGGGATTAGTTCCCCACAAGCATACACTATTGCATAAGTCAAACACCTTAAATGTATTATTAGATTATATTCAACATATTTACCTCCAAAACTGCCTGCTGCGAGGAGGCAGAAGAGGCCTGTTGTGCTAAACTCACGGTAGGCTGGGGCACTTGAACCTGTCCTCCTAGGCTGCCCATGGGAACGATAACGTTCTGCTCCACATAGGGCTGCACACCAGGAGCAAGGTAGCCCGGCTGAGCCATCGCATCTGTGGGTAAGGGAGGGGACAGTACGGCAGAAGGAATGCTAACAGAGGCCACAGCAGAGGAAGGTGCAACACTCGAGTCGCCTGGGTATTGAGGAGGCAGCCGAGACGGGAAGCCCTGTAACAGAAACGAAGGAGTCATGTTAGTGAATGCCAGAGCTACTGAGGAAACAAGAAAGTACTGAAGTATCAGTCTGGGGGGCACGTTCCCACCTCCTGTACTTGTTCAAGCACTCCCAAAGGCTACCATCCCAGAGAAAGAGAGCAAACTGTCCATGTAGCCAAAGCTCAACCTGCAGGTCACCGTGTTTGAACAAGCTATTCCCACCCAAAGTTCCAAGTCTTGGGCAAAACAATCTTCTCACAACTCATGCATTTGCCTATTTGGCTTAATATTTTAAGGGCTGAGACTGGAAATTAGTTTAAAGAATTTTTAGGCTGAACAACTACTGGTCAGAAGATGTTACGCAACTGCTGCTGATTCTCAAGACCAATAGCAACAACACCCTTGTGTTCTTCCTCTCCTCTCGTGATGAGCTGACCCAGGAACATTCCTACACAGAGTTTCTGTTCTACAGCACTCCTTATAATACCAGCGCAGATATTTCTACATCTTTGTAGAAATTTTGCCTATAATTTTCGTTCTAGAAGAACAATCATATGCTGAATCACTATTTTTGTCACTGTTCAGATTGTGTGATCACTGTAAAACTGGCAGAGGAGCTGAAGCAGTCTGTGCCCAACAGTCTAGCATTAGGTACTTACGTTCACGTTCAAGATCCACGCCGTCTGCCTTATTTTAGAAAGTCCATGTCCTCCCCCCTCCCCACCTCCCTTCCCCTTCCCAGACTTGGAATGGAATATTGACATTGCTGAATATGCTGCCATTGATTTTCTTTCCAACACACATCCTCCATTTAAAAGAAAAAAAAAAAAAAATCACAATTTTTTGTACTTTCTTTTTTCCAAGCTGACAAATCTCTTAGATATGTAGCTGTTCTCTTTCACACAGTGGTTGACCAAAGCCCTGCACTATGATTCTGGTATTTTAAAGAAATTCCATTGCCAAATATGAAAAACCCAAAAGACTAGGGTGTCCAAGGACTTCCCCCCGCCCTCCTTAAAATGGTCTTTTTCCACACAACAGAATTTGTCTTCACGGCTTAATGGTTCTCTTATGAAAAGTGAGTTGGCCAGGTCACACAGTTCAGATCTGGTACCTTAGAGGAACAGATAAAAATTGTGGAGAAGAGCTCTGCTGGCTTCCAACAATACCTGGTAAAGAGCATCTCCAGCAGGAAGTGAAGCTTCAGCAGCTTGTCCAATGCTGACTGGCAATCCCACGGACTGGACAGCCGGCTGCAGGAGCTGCGGGAGAACCTGGCTGGGCAACTGAGCCACAGGCTGCATCAGTGTGGGGAGCTGGCTAGGGACAACGGTTGATCCTACGGGCACAGCGGTTGCCGCAGCAGTCGTCGCCAGCGTGAGCAATGGCTGATTCATGCCAGCGGCCATTGAAATGGGCAGTGACTGGAAACCTGGCTGAGCCACTGACACGTGAGGAGCTGCTACGGGCAACTGAGAGACTGAGAACTGGGGAACCATGGAAGTTGGCAAGGGCTGTCCCATGGGGAGGAAATGAGAGCCAATGGGGACTGATGGGGCAACTGAAGGCTGAGGGAGAGAAGGTGCTGCAACAGGTAACTGAGGCTCGCCTTGGATGATCGACACTGGTTGGGAAACAGGAAGCTGGGGAGGTAAAGAAAATAGAGATAGATTTTTTTTTTTTTTAAAGCAGGGTTGCAGAAAGCAGAACTTTTATGCATTAGTCAAAGAAAGAATTATTCAAGTTATAGCACTCTGTTAAAGTGGGCGGGGAGCGCAGTTGGCAGAGTGGCTGGGAAGTTGGCTGGAGTTCCAAAAGGTCCTCACTTCGCAACACTTCCCCTAAAGAACTCACAGGCTCTTGAAACAGACACCCGCAGAGGGTGAAAGAGCAACATTCGAATACCCTGAAGCACTGACTTGTGCATAAACAGAATCAAATTCCCCTCAATCTGTCCCCAGAGCCAAGCCTGCCTTCTTACAGGAAAGAAGCGCAAATCTTTCAACAAATCTGTCAGCTTTGGGTATGGGGACTAAAACAACAGAGAATAGAAAGCCACTGTGCCAGCATTCAGAGGATGGCAGGGGATATGTCAATTAAAGCCAGCAAACAATGCAACTGGAAAGGCAGTTTAGATGAACAAGCAACAAAACAATTTTAAAAAAACAAAAATCAAGGCTCACATGTTCAAGATAGAGATATGAGCCAAAATGAAGTAATATTCAGTAACAGAAGCTTCTTGACGAGGGAGTAAAGGAGAAGAGCTGAATAAGAAAGATGAGAGTGGAGAAGGCAGTCCTTATGGTTCACTACCTAAATAAGTGAATATGTTTTACACACATAATGGTGCAGAAGATAGTCATTGATGGGAAGCAGAGAAATGACAAGTTCCTGAAAATCCATTCATAATATACCATTCATCAATACGCCTCATGGTATCTTTGGCAGTTTAAAGATCTTTGTGCATGGAAGTGCTATCCCTCCCTCAGATTACTCACGACTGCCACGTGTGAAAGAAAGGGTTTCCAACATGTTTTCCAACAAAATTAACAGTTGTAGTACACTAAGAATACTATTATCTGGATGAATGTTTTGGAACCATTAGAAAAGATGACAAAAGTGAAAGGAGCAGTATGTTGAATTTGCCAGCTGTGAAGAAGAAAATCATCTGCTAGAAAGAAGAATTGTGTTTACCTGTGTCCCAGCTGCTGCCTGAGGCATCGGCATAATCTGTGAAGTTTGAGTTTGAGAGACAGTTTGTGTGGGAGTGGCGCCAGCAGAAACTGATGGCTGCTGCAGCTGGTATTGTCCAGGCTGTTGGGAAGAGGCTGACTGTGCATTCTGTAGTAGAGAAAAGAGGCAGAAGCTATTTTTCCCCCCACAGAAGTTTTTTAAGCGTGTCCTACTTTAATTCTACTTTTTACTCCCTCATAATCGACACCAATTGTTCTTCTGAATGTGCTGAGTCAATTAAGCTTTAGCAATTACTTATTAGCATTACTAATACAACGCCATTATCGGCACCAAATATTGCAACAGAATTATTTGGGGAAAAAAAAAAAAAGAATGAAGATTCTATAAAGGAAGACAAGGCAGTGAAGAGAAGAGGATGTTGCAGAAGACAGTATTTCCAGTTAGAAAAAATTATGAGAATGAAGTCTGCCTGTCTAGACAGTCTAACTTGCAAATCCTGACATTGAACTTCCACTGCAAGCTCAGGTGAAAGTTGGGAAAGACAGACACAGGAAAATAAGTATTAACATGATCCTAAAAGTAAATTTCAGAAAGTCAATGAAGTTAATCTCATAGCATGTTAGATTGGGTGAGAACCAGAGGATTCCTCTCCTTTTGTCCAAAACTACAGGTTGAAGGGGAGACAGAAGTTGTCAATTGCTCTTAAAGAGTCATCAACATCATATAATAAAAGTATTTTAGTCCGGGGTTTAGGGACTGTGATCTTACCTGTTGAGTGTGTTGGGTAGGCTGGGATGGCACTGATGCACTGCTTGAGGCTGACTGGCCTTGCACCTGTGTCTGGAGGAGAAAAAAAAAAAAAGGGAATCAGCTTAAACCCTCTGGTTTCTGCAGCAGGCAGTTAGAATAACTTCTGCCTGGACTGATCTGGTTGGGACAGGTTTCTAGCTGTCCTTTTGGACAACCAGTCCTTTTGGCCAAATTCCGCTACAGCAGCCAGAACAGAGTAATCTGGAAAAGTACTGAATTCCGTTTTAAGTCTTCCAAAAGAACCAATCTTTGCAACTCACATGCCCCTCAACATGAGACAGATGAGCCTACCAGCTGCTTCTTCCACTGATGACGCTCTAAGAGCGGGATACCCTGGTATGGTAACTGGAAATAAAGGTATTAGGTTTTACCTTTACACGTGTTCTAAACATAGTTAGGTGGGGTGATAGGAGGAGGCTAGAAGGAAATAAACTATCTGTTAAAAAAAATATACAGAATTCTAGACCAGTAACAAAGTACTCAGTACATGTACATCTTCCCTTTGAGAGGCATGTCAAAATACAAGCTAGACATCATTTCCAGGCTCAGTACTGTTCCAAGTCTACCAAGAATTGGATATTGAAGAATCTGGGGGTCCACATTCTAGCTAAGATAGAATTTTTGAATGAATAAGCAATGAAAAAAATGGATGAGTGGCATACAAATGAATGTGGAAGATGCAGAGGAAAATGGAATGAATTTTTCTTTTTGTGGCTGCCATTTTTGATCAGATCCCAGGATTTCCATTACTGTTTTTGTGACAATTATATTTCTTTATCAGATCCTGGGAGACAACTAGACAAAGACCTCCACTTGAGTTCCCTGGGCATGCACCACTTTGGTGAACTGTCTATGTAGGAAACATATCTGGTGCATACGTATCGCATCAGAAATATCTACTGAAATTCCTGAATGCTGCCATCATTCAGCTTGTAGAAGCTTATTCGGAACAAGTTTATTAAAATCACATACTTTTTTAATTAGAGAAACTTTGGGGAAAGCAGACTGCCAATAAAAAGACCATTTTTTTCTTTGCTGTTTTAGAAGTTTAAGGCCCTTACTGGCTAGGATCTAAACGCGTGCTACACTCCACTGTTGTTAACCTCTGTTCACATTGACTCAGTTTGTGCTTCAAATTATGTTTGCATGAATTACATAAAAGATCCCAGAATCTATATTCTGTGAAATAATCGTGATCCCTTACTGTGCTTTGCAGATGTATTTTAAATTCATCAGAAATCACCTCCTAAAGTTTAACAAAGGTGGTTTATAGAGCAATCATGCCCAAGTATTTTTCAACTTCTTGCATAGCAGTGTCATTCCACAAGTTCTCCTACAGCACAGAAATTACTATCTATTAAACTACTGATTAAAGCTGTTTCAGCTTCAATAAAACACCTTTGTTATCCCATACAGAAAGCCTTAAATACTTAGCTCTTGATCTTACCACAAAAAGCAAAGATTCCCCTCCAGTTCCTTTACACAAATCCCAAAGTTGCTAATACTCCAATAACCAAAATGTCAGAGAGTCCCTAATTCCAAGAACAGAAGTAGTAAGAGAGAAGTCTACTTAAAGTAGATCCTCTCTTTTCACAAAAAATTATCTGATGAAAAGTTTCAGGCTACAATCGCAGACACAATGTATAAACACATACACCTCACAGTCACAGTATACAAATGCATTACTGACTGTTCCAAGTGCAAATTCCATATATGCTGATAAAACATATACCTCCAAACTAAGCTTCAGCTTTTGCTTTTTAAAAGGATGCTGTATTCTGGACTTACAAGGAAACAATACCTATTAGCAACAGTTGTTTGTACCACTAATTTACTACTCAGCTTTAGTTTCTTTAATGATCCTGCAGGTACATTTCCAGAACCGTGTACACATACATAATAAAGCTCCTTCCATTCCTCTCTTCCCACTTTCCTCCCCCAAGCCTAGAAAAATCTCTTGCATTTTGGACAGTCACCAAATTAACCTTGTTGTTGTCTAATGAAACATTATTCATTCCAAAGTTCAACTTCAAATAACACATTCTCATTCAGTGGCTAAGGAACGGGAACAAAAATACAAAGCAAGTTTTACTCTTACTGCTGGTTCAAACTGTGAAGACACATTTCATTAAACTCCTTTAAAAGCCAGTTTGGTACTCCAGCTATCTGTCGCCAGAAGAAAAACTAGGCCCAGGAGGAACACTGATTATTTGTTACCCGTAACACAAAAGCCCTACCAGCATTTCAGCTGAAGCTGAACACAGACCAAGTGGTTGCTGATGCCTCATTATTTCATCACAACCTGGCAAGCTAGAAATCCTACCAACCTACTGACTCGGTGGGAAGACACCCCCATGAATGCTAATAGTTAAAACCACATGGAGCAAGTTTAAGAACAAGGGTCCCCCTTTAAGTGCAAGGTATGATTTATAAAAATTCTGGAAGGGTTTGCTCCTGTAACCTGAGGATAGAGTGCAGGTGGTCCTGATGAAAGCGAGGTGGACAAGGCCTGCTGAGTCGAGGCTCCCTGGGGGAAGCAGATGAAGAGCTGCGACTCTTGCAACACCTTCTGAGGCAGCTGAACAATGGGCAATGAGAAGTCAGAACCAAAAGCAGAAGATGACCCCCCTGTAGGGGGAGGAGACTGAAAATCGCCAGTGTCAGAGGAAGTCAGTTGTGAGGAATCACTGGAGTATTCTGGGCTTCCTTCCGGCCAGCTCCGCCTGGCAGAGCCCCCTCTGGGACCTGCTAACTCAGGACCGAGATAGTTACACTGCTCCTCTGTCACAGGCTGAAGCCGACCATGCGACCCTATGCCTTGAGTGGATTCCTCTTGACTGGTCTCCATAGAGCCCCGGCGACTTCTGTAGACCCGCTGGGGTAAAACTGGCCCTTCTGCTGGAGCAGAAGTCGGTGTGTGCACATGGAACTCAAAGACACAGCTCGCTCTGCCATCACCACTGTGAGAGAGCACAGCCGGGGCAGAGTGTGGAACAAATACCTGGTGGAACGTCATCTGAGCAGGGTCTGCACTCAGAGGAGCTGAAACACTGGATAATGGAGAAAGGGGACCCATCCCAGAATCCAGCCTCAGGTTCTGAACGTGTCTTGCCAGGTATGTTTGCCCCATTTGAAAGTCGAACACAGAGCTTTGTGGAGGACCACCTTGCCCATTGTTTGACTCAGAGACCTGCTTCAAATGTTGTTCAGTCGCATGAGATTTATAAGCTACTTGATCATACTGCTCCGATACCTGTGATGGATAGTGCATGCCCACCAAATATACAGCTTCTGGATGCATTCTGTAGTGAGCATCCTCTGGAGGAGTTGGTCCAGATCTATAGTCACTGTGGACAGGAGCTGGCTCAAACACGGGATTAACTTGCACATGCAGAGGCTCTCCAGCGACTCTCTGAGCTGCTGTGCTCAGCATAACGAATGCCTCTGGTGTCCAATTGGTGGGACTACCACCAGGTGGGACTAAACTCTGGCCAGTCTTCAGCAATGGCTGGAAGTGGCAAGTTTGAGCTTCCAAAAATGAAGTGCTCTTGCGCCGCTGAGCAACTGCCACCTTCGGCGGGCAGACAGGTGGAGGAGAGAAAGACACCGGCCGTTCATGAACGGTTGGGAAAAATATCTGGGAATCTGGGAACGTTGGTGTTCCCCCACGCGGATGCTGAGGCTGTATTGACATGAACAAGACAAGTAATTCATACATTAAAAGTGAAAGCACATCAACATGCACAGTTCACTAGGCAGTTCTGTGAAGTAACTTTATAGAATGACTACTCAATTCATGGTCAAAAACATACAGTACTTCGGAAATTTAGGTGAGTTGTAAATATCCATTAAATACATCCATGGCAGGCATAGCTACGAATGGAAACATTTGCTTGTGTTAGAGCTGCTTTTCCAGTCCAGTTCCAGTAATTCACAAAAATAAACCAGTTTTGCTCCTGACTATGTAATGAGATTTATTGTCATGGGCTAGCCATTGTGATCAGTGCCTGAAAGCCAATTAAACCCCTGAGGTTACTGCCATATGGGGAATACAAAAATTCAGAGCTTGATAGCAGCAACAATGCAGAGCCTCTAGTTTGCATTTAGAAGATAAAATGGCATTAAATCTTAGTACCATCCAATGCAAAAAACCTACAGTGCTAGTGTCCTGTCAAGAGTGTGCTCTGTATGCAACCCAGGGAGCTACAGAGAAACCTTTTATGAGACAGAACTGAACCATTCAAGCCCACAGATGGAAAAAAAAAATAATATATAAAATTTATAAAACTGCAGACCCTTTCAATTCTGCTCAGTTTGATCACACCTTTTCACATAGGAAATTAGCACTCACTGAAAAAAACTTAACTCTTGCCTAGACAATAAAACATTCACAGGTTTAGTAACAACAGAGTCCACAGGCAATTCCGCTCCATCTGATGTACCACAACAGATGAGGCTCATCTTAAATAAGATTTGTAGGGAAGTTTTCACTAAAAAGAGTTCTATGTAAGAATACCAAATAACTTTGTAATTCCATATTTGTTCATCTCCGCCTACAGTGTGCTGAGAGACAATGCATTATCAACCCCAAAGGGAACAAAAAAATTTGCAAGAGTCAGTAGCAAACATCCTGCCTTTAAGACACGTGCCATTTATGACTTTTTCAAGTTGCTGTTTCCACATTGTTCCATTTCTCCCCAGCCCTTTCTTTTTTTTTTTTCTGGAAAAGCAGCAGCAAATTTCCATATTGACCAACACTAACAAGAAGGTCCTACAGGATGAAGAACTATTCCTGTGTTTTGAAAAGTAATTTCACATACTTGACTTACAGAGAAGCATTTCTTAAAATTTATTTCATGGAAATTAGAGTCCAAAACTGAAAACAGACTACCTCCTGTCCTGCAGCTATCTTGCATCTAACCTTCTGAGAAACATGAAACAATGGCTTCTTCACATCAAGAAGCTGCTGAAGTGGCATTTCTGATTAAAACTTACAGAAAAATCCTCCAAAGAATTCATATTCTGAATTTCTAGTATAACTATCACAACTAGCCAAAGCTTTTAGAATAACTAGCCACAGCAACCAAGATTGTTGTTTTGCTGGTTGTTTTGTGCAGGGCTTAATTAACATTCATTATTTGTTTAAAAGTTGGAAAATAAAAAAACCAAACTGGTTTTCTGACTTAAGGGGCAGGAACTAGTCCTCCCCTTACTTTCTGTAGTACAACTGGCTAATTCACATTTATATTATCCTAAAATACAAAAAACAGTGGTCAGCCACTGTTTGATGATATTTAAGTGTAGTGCTTCCCAAAAAAGATCAACGTTCTAGCAGCACAGTATAAGTAATAAGGAATCAGCTCTTCATTTTCTCATTTTAGAAATGCCCAAAAAGCCCAGGATGTATTTAATGATAACTTATCTTACTGTGCCAGGAGGCAAATGGTAACACATACAGGACTGACAGAGAGGGAGGGCAGGCTGGAGCGTCGATGCTTGCGTGGAGAGGCAGAGTGCATGGGCAGGACACTTTCCAGGGCTTTAGAAAGCTTTTCTGCAAAGGTTTCTTCAGGGACAGTCCGAAGGTAGAAAGGAGAAAGAGGTGCAGACAGCGCTGGTGGTGGGGTGCAAGGAGCACTGAGAGGGATGCAGGACATAGAGGGAAGAGCAGGAAGGTGGGGGACACAAACTGACATGCTACGACCACGTTGAGGCTAAAGGAGGAAAACAAAAGTTAAGAATTGAACACTTCAAAAAAAAAAAAAAAAAAACCAAACCAGAAAAAACTACAATGAGGTAGAAAAGGAATGCAACACACAATGAGAGGTCCACTACTGACTACTGCGTGTGCGAGGAGATATGAGAGATGCTGAATGAATGCCAACACACACTGGGAACAGGCTATGTGCACCTCTGAGGACCCAAGTTTGCCTTTGTTACTGAGCGGGGTGGGAAGTTCCCTAGTACCCCTACGAGAAGGGTAAACAGGCAGGAGAGAATATTTTGTCTGGGGTCACTGGTGTGGCCCATACTGTGTGTAGTCACAGCATCTGGTAGCCTGAGGAGTCAAAAAAACCTAAAACTGATGAGCTTTCAAACATTCGTTCTTAGTTTAGCGAATCAACATGTGTTTATACCTATCACCTCACAAGTCTCTCTGCTTGAATGAATTAGTCTAACTGTACGCTGCTGGCTCTTTATTAAATAAAACATTATCTTAAAAATTTAACATTACACACTTTACAACATGAGTTGTGGGGGGGAAAAAAAAACTGATTTAATGTGTGGAAAAATTCAGTAAAATTAGTCTTAGACAAGCATTTTCCAGACACTGGGCCAATAAAAGCGTCAGGATTTTGTAATCTTGCCACAGTCCAGAAGGCCATAGGTCAAAATCCAACCAAATCGGAAAAATTAGAATTAGGTTTTGAGGTGGGGTGTTTTGGTTTTATTGTTATTGCTTTTTTGGTGTGGTCTGTTTTGCTGTGGTTTTAAGTGAATGGAAAGATGATGTTTTAAAGAGGCAGTCTTCAACTGCAAGTTTTCCTTCTCTAATGGTATATGTATCTTATTTATATTAAGAAATTGTGGATTATATCCATGAAATCAAATAAGGATATCCAGGGAGAAAATCACAAGATATCCAGGGGAGATCTGATTTTAAAGACTCCCAATGTGAGAAAACTTGCTAGACTGCTCAAAAATTTGGGAAAGAGACATAAGGGAACCCAAAGGGTTAAAAATACTTTACCCGTAATCTTCACCTGTTTTAAGGTAGGACTAGTTTCATGTAATTCCTGACTAATTCATCTAAACTGTTCAAAAACATCTCCAGTCATAGAGACTGCAGTACTTATCCGTCCTTTTTGGTTGGGAAAAAAGACTTTCCCAATTAGTCCATGCTGCAATTTAGGCTTATTATTCCTTATTCTCATAACACTGTTCTGATCCGATTAGTCTCCTCCTATTTTACAGTAGCCTTTCAAGCTTTCTCTCTCCTCAAGCTCATCTTTCATAGGCTCAGCTTGACTATTTCAGTCTTCCCACATAAACAATGTTTTCTGTATTTCTAGTGTGGTGGTGTTTGGTTTTTTTTTTAATCACTGTCCTCTGAATTCTCTCCCAATTCACCCTCAAATTCCCTCAAGCAGGGTGTCCAGCATAGACTTTCCAATGGCCAAGAGAAGAACTACTTCACATAACATGATGTTTACCTTTTCCACAACAGCATGATGTTTTTGACCATGTCCATCTCGTGGTCCAATGTAGTCCCTGACTTTTTTTATTTTTCTCCTAGAATTGTTGCCTGGTCAGTTGTTGCTCATCCTGTGCTCGTGTAGCTGATTATTCCTGTTTAAGCATGAAACTTGTTCTTGACCTGATAGAACTGAATTCTTTTTCTTTGAGGCCATTCTCAAGTTGTCACTGTAATTTTGACTTCTCATTCTGTCTTTCCAACAAACCATTAGTAGTTCTTGTAGTTCTACCTGTTCTGTCAACTTCCTGGTACCACTGTTGTCATCATGGAACATGAGCACATTTTAGCAGTGAACTGAGCAGCTTGACTACAACTCTTGTCACGTGCTTGTTCTCCCATCCCCTCTCAAAAGATTATGGTCTGTCAACCTGGAAGCCAACCATCCCAAGACAGTGAAACGGCTTCTGGTCCAATATAGGCCCGGACAATCAAGATATAACTTATGCAGAACAAGAGCTTATTTAGAGGGATTAAAAACTCATTTGATCAAGGACTCACAGTATCACACACTTCAGATGAAGTGCCTTTGAAAAAGATGGAGATGCTTTGCTTGTGAGTGAAACCAGCATGTTTTCCAAAAAGCTAGTAACACCAATGATTCTGTATTAAAGCCTACAACCACAGGTACCAAAAAAAAGGTGAGGATTCTCAGTCTTTAAATGTCACACCTTCTCCCTTAAGGTATTACTACATTATACCATAATGTCTCCGCCTCAGGTTTAGATTTTTATTTGTGTATAAAACAAGTGACAAGGGAACCACTGAAGACAATATAACAGTAGCAGAAGTTCTACTCCAGAGTTAGAATAGACTTCTGCGTACCTTCATACTCAGATCTAAAAAACATACCAAAGAACAAAACATACCAAAATAAAAGGGCAACACAAATGAACATAGTAGGAGAAGTATTTGTGCCCAGTGCAGACTTTCCAGGGGAAAGGAATACGCATGGCAACTGATGAGCAAATCAACACAAGCTAGAAATAAAATTGGGAACAAGGGTGTGGGGTCTTTTCAGTCTGGAGTTCTCACATGCAGCATTCTATAACAGTTTAAAAAAATCTTACCTGCAGAATCTGTAATCAAAGCCTCACAGAACACACACAGCAATTTCATACTTATACAGTAGCTAAAATTATTCTAATCCCATCTTCAAATGAAACCAACAGCTTGATCCCTGGTAACTTCATATGCACATACGCACACCACCTTCCCACGTGAGATTAAATGCTTACTTTTATGAGTGAGTCTTGTTCTAAGGATGTTACTTCCAGCCATTAAAAAACCCCACTAACTTAAGTGCACTCAAGATTAAAAAGCTTTAAAGACAAACATGCCCTTGCACTTTTCCCCACCCCTAGACTCAGTCACCTTGCAAAAACAACCCCTTAACTACTCCCATGCAGAGGCTGTATCACGTGCAAACCAATACATACATGGAAGAGTGCCTGGCAGACTTTCCTCTCACCTTTCAAGAGAAATAAAAATAAAATAATTCCGTGCATTTGCAATACTGTAAGTTCTGGCTTACCGCTGCAGGTGGCTGATATCCTCCGTGCTGCTGCGACTGCACTTGGCCAACAGAAGCTGGATAGCCCTGAACCGCCGCTGTCGAGATGGACTGGTCATGCTGGGAACCGTACGACACAGTCTGCTGACTGCTCACACAGGATTCGGTATAAACAGATGACCCCTGCCCACTGTCAACTGTCCCATCAGCTGCAGAAGTTAAAGATGAACATCTGTGTTTTAAGAACTGCGGTCTCAATTCACAACTTGAAAGATATTATGATCAACCAAATATTAGATCAATGTTTGTGCCGTGTCACATGGACCTCATCAGCATTTTACCACTTGTAATATTTAAGCTCATTAAAAAAATTTTTTTTTTCTTCCTCAGTTCCTTACCGATACGCCTTCCCTTAATCTCTGAAAAAAAATCAGTAATTTCAGAATTTCTTTGGGAATATACTTAATAGCATACTATGCTTCCTATAAAAGGCTAGTCTAGAAATAAAATTTTAAATTCCACATTATTATGAGTGATATTTCAGGGGGGTTTAATTATTATTTTAATTTATTTAATGTTACACAGATGTATAAAACAGGTCTGTTGTGCTGGCTGGCAGATGCACCTGATGTAGTTATTACCTAGAAAGCAAATTACTGTCTGCTCTTTACCTTCACCATTCCAATAGGGAGGTTCTCATCCACCATCATTACTCAAACACCAATTCAAACGTTGGGATGGCAGAAGAGGAAAAGTTAGGAGTGTTAATTCATCTTTTAATTTATAGTATGTAAACCAAAGTGAAACCTTTTTTTTAAGAAAGAAAATTATGAGCTGAACTGCTTGATGTTAATCTCATTTTCACCATAAATGTAAGTTAACAAGGATTCAAATAAGTGTTTTTAGTAGCTCTACCTGCACTGGTGCAAGGGTACACAGCCTTCTGTAGGGCCTGAATAGGAGGGCAGCAAAAACTAGGACATGTAGGTGCTTCAGGTGCCCCACTTTATTTAGTGTATTAACTTAAAACAAAGGAAAATGATGTTGTGCTAAGACACTGGACTGTGAGTTGTGCCAAGACTTGGCTCAGCTAAGGCACAGGAATGCATCTTATTTTGCTGTGCTTTCTAGTGGTGTAATGCTCTTCAGCAGACAGCAATGGCAGACAGCAACATCTTAAGATATTTACTGCTATACCCACCAAAAGTTTAAGACTCTAAGGGGGATAACTGTGTAAGTGCAAGAGTTTCTAAATAAACCGACACACTTACAAAGAATAGATATACTGGGTTGCTGGAACTGCAGCTGTTGGTGTTGATCAGCTTCTGGTTCTTCAGGCTCCACTTGTGTAGAAACCGATGCTGAAGTAGTGGGGACAGGAGTAGTACCAGTGACTGATAGGGGATGCTTTGACCCTGCATGGGAAGCACTTGATGGTTGCTGTTGCTCCAGCTGCTGCTTCTGACTACCTTCTTCCTGAAGCTTCTTCTCCTGTTCTTCTCGCACCAACTGACGCTGCTCTCGCTTTCGCTTAATCAAAGATACCCTGTCCTTGATAGCTTTCGCCATCGTCTTGTGATCCCCTTCACAGACATAGCCAGATTCCACCTGAAGGAGGATATATTCACAGAATTCAGACTGTCAGAGACAGCCACTGTTGTAGTGCTACAATATAAGCTATCGCTCTCTGGCACTAACTTCTCATTCACAAACTCCTGAAGCTGTTTTATTTCTAGACGGTAAGAACAGCACATGCAGAGGCTGACAGACTACGTTTCACTCTCAGAGAAGGCCAGGATCTCTGATATTTTGTAAGGTCACCATCACTTACCATTTCCTGCGCTACATCCTCTGGGACATCTCTCTCCAAGTCAAAGGAGAACTCTATTGCCTCATTATCTTTATATTTGCCCTTGAGTTTTTTGATGTCTTCAATTCGCAGCCAGAGTTTAATGGCAATTTTTTCTCCATCATCTTCCTCTGCTAGTTCTACCCGTACTCCAGTCTCTTCTTGGAAGAAAGCATGATTCAAAAGGTCCTTAATAGCATATCTAGCATATTGGGAAAGAATGTAGACAGCACAAGCAGTTATTAGGTTTTCATAAAATATTAAGAAATATACTTGCCTGATGATCCCCGAATATATCCTCTACAGTTCACGCTTTTCCCACGAGTTATTTGACAGCCCATCACTCAAATTTCTATTTAAAAGCATGATGGAGAAACAAAATGCAACAATGCTACAGATGTATATAAAAAAAAATAAATCACATGGTCAGCGGAAGTACCAACCGACTTAAGCCAACTGAACAGGATTTATATTAAAATAACGAAATATCTTGAAGAAACAAGTTTGGCTTTACTGAACGTTAAGATTCAACACACAGCCCTTAGTCCCCACATCAGTACAGTAATCTAAATATGTATTTCAGTCTATTTCAATATCTTATCTATTAAATTCAGCACTATTTGAGCACCACGTGATTCCTTTCATATTTTACACTATTTTGAACCACTTTGACCTGCATTCTCTTTGGCACAATTAGAAGCTTTGCCCTGAAGGTATAAAAAAGATCTACATTCATACATGCACAGCACTAACAGTAGTGGTCTAAAAGTTAACCGCTTAAACTGAATGGCAAGAAATAAGTGATGGGATCTGAAAATTAAGACCCCTCAAAATTAAATTAAAATGGAAAAAAATACAGAATAGTTGAAAACTAAGAAAAAGAACAGAAATTAAAAACACACAGCAATGTCATCAGATATAGAACTTCAGAGTTAATAGAAGGGGACATACAAACATCCATGAACTGACAAAACTAGCTCTGAACAGAATAGCAGGAAGCTAGAGGAGAACCGAAGGCTGAAGCATTCTTAAATCCAACATTCAGTATGTAGCAACTATGTAAAACCAGGAAACAAAACAAACCCCACAAAAAAAGACATCAGAGCAGTTACAGATTGGTACAGATTACAGTGATGGTATAAGTTTATCACGTAAGTAGAAATCAACTTGCAGAAAACGTGGATGAAAATGAGCAGCAAGAATTTAAAAAAAGAAGAGCTCTCAATCAGCCATAAAATGCCAAAAAAATCAAAGGGTCAGGAAAAACAAAGGATTACCGAATAATAAACCAACCCAACAATCTAAATACCTGGGAAGCCAGAAAGATTGTCCTCCACTGTTTTGCTGACCAGGTCAAAGTTTTAAGAAAAGCAGTAGAACTGCTGAATAAACTGACATGGGTGGTTACCATAACATTTGCACTTTTCCTGACACTGTCAATTCTCTAAAACCATCACTGAGTAGGAGTCTACCAAATAGAGGTTGCAGAAGTAATACTGGTTTCCCAGCTTTCATGAGAACACAGAAGACCCCAAGAACTAATTGAATCTGGTATCATCAGAAATAAAAGACTCAGACAGCAAGTAATCTGAAAAAAAAGCACTTACCTTTCGCCTTTGTTTTGCCGAATGCATCCCTCAATTATCTCCTTCACTTCAGGGATTGCTACTTTATCGAAGCTGGCTGGCTTGACACCCTGGAACACACAAGTAACAACAGAGAAACTGTTGAATCAATCCACTTCATTTAAGTTTTGATTGTGTTTACAAACCAATTACTTTTACTCCCAGATAACCGGCCTGAATTTCCCACTAGTGCAGATTATAGAGAAATTTGACCCCAATCTTACTGTTCATTTGTTTGTTAGTGACTTTTGCAAATGTTTTTCTCTTCTATTTCTCAGGTACACTTCCAAACAGAAGGCTTTGGCAGTCAGGTTCTCAGTTATGATAGGAGAACCATTTCATTTCCATGGAAGTTACACTGGTTGGAGGAGAGTACACAGACTGGACTGAGAATGAAAGGAAACATTTCCTATGTAACACTAATGCACAAACCCACATAATTAATTTAACAGTCTTCAAAGGACTCTGCTGCTTCCCACAACGTTTCCAACAGGCCATTATATGAAGTAATTTTGGCATAGATTGATTTTACAGGAAAAACCTTAGCCCAGAATGATCCGATTGAATCATTAAATAACTTGTCCAGTGTTTTTTTTATTAAAAAAAAGGAAATTAAAAAAAAAACTACTTTCCTGTATCTGAGCTCTCCCCAGAAGACCTACTATAGTCAAACCACACTCTTGCATCACTGCTGGTGTGAGTTCAGGAAAATGAGCTTAGCAATACAGACCTTTACAAAAGCCCTTCAACAACACAAGTCAATCCTTTCTCCAGTACATGCTAAAGCCTTTGGGGGAGAGCAAAACAAAAATCTAAGTATGGTCAGCTACTCAAATCAGTAAAGCAAATAGGCCATGAGATGTGACCATCTGGGAATTCTGCAAAACACTGCAGGCAGAGAGCCAAACTTCATCACTTAATCATGACCGGCAGCTCTATTTCAGGGGCAATTGTCTACAACAGCAAAATCTGGCACTCAATTTAGTTTGATTCAGCCTTTAGCTTCAAACTCTATTTAAGACAGCAAAATGAGAGAGGACGAGGACATCCTGTTCAAATTCTGTTATCTGAAGAGTCCACGTTTTTCAAGCTGAACAATCCTGAAATCATAAACTTGATACATCTGACCCTGTGTCACTGGTAATTCACAACTAAACAAAAGCTGAAAACCATAGAGTGTGAAGTACAGAAATAAATGAAGGAATAGTACAAGCATCATGATTTGTGTCCTAACCAGAAAGTACTTCTGCCAATATCCTATATGATACTGCTTCCCATCAAATTGGGAACATCAAGACATAACCCTTCCCCTTTCCTGTGTCAGTGGGAAACAAGTCTTGAAACAGGTTCAAGTCTCTTGCAACTACAGACCTTCATTCAACTGAATATGGAGACTTAATACAATAATAGTTTCCATCTACATTTAGATACTTTTTTTCCTCTTGGCCAGAAATGGCAGTATATGGACTTCACATGTTCTCTATCTAAAATATTCTCTACCACACTCTTCCAGGAGAGGGCACAGTCAACATCAACATTAACAGATGCAAATACAAGACTGGGAGGGCACAAGAGTCCAGTCTTTCAATGGACAACAGTCCTATTTGTCACTATGTTTTACAAAGTGTTATATCAGGAATTTTTAGAAGGACAAAAAAGCCCTGCAGAAAGACACCATTTTTCACTTGATAAAAACTTCTGTTACAACAGCACCCCGGTTATCCATTTCTTTGCTCTGAGATTTGCTCTTATGCAATGCTAGCAACTGAAATTCATAAAGCTGAAGAGTATATTGTGACTAGAACAAGCCTCGAAACACAGTGTGTCAGTGAACATTAACTTAATGCTTTTAAAAGCTTCACTGAACATTAAGACTTTGTGGAGATCAATGCCTCAGCTGATAAGGCATCAGACCAAAGTTTGGACGGGTAAGTCTAATACTGTAACCAGGTCGTATCGTAAATCTTCAGCTTCCTAGCAGGACATCACAGAGCCCTACACTCTACAGGGATTTATAAAACTAGTTTTAGGGATCAATAACCTGGTTGCATCTGCTCCTATAACAGATGAGTCAGAGACACCCAGCCTTAATTAAGCCCAAGCTTAAAATATTCCCAGGAATTCAGGTTCCTACATGTAAAGACAGATGCTTCCATACATAAATTAAATGCTCTCTTAGATACACATACATACATGTATAACTGATGCAATAATTATTCAATTGTTTATTGCATATATTTGTACCTAAATGTGCCATAGTTTAACATGTATAAAGTCTCCTAAACAGATCAAGCCCCAGGCATAGCAGCAGCCTTCACACACATTCATTTACACTGTGGCAGCAAACAGAAGATGTCAGATTTGTGACAATCTCATTTCAGACAAACTAAAAGCTGAGAGGAGTAATACAACCGGTACTGCAAAATATTAACACAATGAAGCCAGAACATGAGTTTTCTTGTTAACTATTTTACCACATGCTCTGTTCTTACACAAAGCCTGAAAAGTTAAAGCTAAGAATTAATTTTAGAATCAGTTATTCAGTCTGCTACCCTGTCTTTATCCTGAAAAACACTAAAATCCTGTCCATAATCTTCAGGCCCTTCCATGAGGGCCATTTTCCAATACCCCATTTTGTGAATTCCAAGCCAGGAGTGGAGTTAAAATGAGAAGCCCCCACCAGCTTCCTCCAGCACAGTTTTCATGTTCCTAACAGCTCAGATGATCTGGGAGAACCTCACACTAGGGCCTAAACCAGAGGATTCTGTGTTGAAGCATCTCCCCATTTCTCAGATTGTTCCACAGTCCATGAGAAGGGCTGCCTAAGCCCAGTCTACAGTGCTGGCCGAGTACCCTTCATGCTGAAGTCCAGGTCACTTAAGTACTATCAGCATTTTAAAGCATTTTTATTCTCCTCCAAGCACTAGGGGAAGTGTCTATTTCACAGAACAAGACAGAGTATACTATGAATGACAAAAATCAATAAATCAATGAACCCTTTTCTACCCCGAGCTGCCTGTACACCTTAATCTGCCATCACAGAGTAACTGAAGGGAGGCCAGGCCCTGCAATTCACATAACCTTGATGTGTCCTTAAGAGTATATGACCCGTGCAGCCAAGCATATATTCATCACTTTCTGAACCCAAAGGCACTCTAAGTACCTACTAAGCCATTCAGTATTTCCTGGTTTGCAGCACACTTACTCCAAGACGGGCACACTCTCATATGCCTCTCCTGGTCCCCAGACTCCTTAGAAGACTCACAGGACAATTCAAATCTTTTAATCTACTAGTCCTATTCCCCAGTGGCAGTTTAATGAGACCTAAACACCCAAATCCCACTACCAGCTTTTCCTAAGTTTGTTAGAGAAATAGAAGAGCTCTTGCAGAGAGAGGGGAAAAAAAAAAGCAGACAGGTGTAACAAGCACACATGAAAATCATCAATATTTTCACAAGCTGTTACCTAAAACAGCATGAACTGGCACCGCTGTCGGTTTCTCACACACACCCATGTCATTTTCTCCTTTTTGCCAGCATTTATACAGCTGCATAATGAACCAGATCACGGTATTCATCGGACTTCAAACAAATCCCCCCCCAAAACACCTGCAGCAGTTTCCAGTGAGATGAGGCTCCCCAGCCTGGTTCCCTGCACTGTTGCAGTAGCCCTCAGGCTTACAGAAGGACGTGATAGTGCACTAGCCAACAAGGGCAGAACTGCTTCTTTGGAAAGAAGTGGCAACTTAAAATAAAACCCACTGAACACTGACATTTTGAGAGCGTCTCTAAAACATGGGCATATATGCAGGTAGAACAAAGCACAACTGATGCAAAGCTAAATATTTGGTTTAGTCTCAAGCATAAGAATATATTTCATATTTCATTTATCTGTGATGTGCTAAGGAAGGTTTGTGATTTTATCAGATTTTAATCAGGTAAAACAAGCGTATTCCAAAATTCAACATCCACTTTTATACGGTTATTTGATTCATTAAAGGCAAGTTAAGTACTCATAAAAAAACTAGATTTTTCAAGATACTTTAAACACCAAAGTATAAGCTACCCAGAACTCTTCTTCACAATATCTGCCTGGACATACGTATTATTTTGCATTAGACAGACCACCAATTCCTGGGTCAGTGGTTTAGCATCTTGTTCTAATGGAAGAGACACTGAAAATATCATTTACTTTGTAAGAGAAATTAAGTCAGTGCTGTATAACTTTTACACCAAACCAAAATGAAGACAGAGGATGCGTTACATAGCCTCAGTAATCCTAAATTAAAAAAAAAAAAAAATTAGATTTGGAGTAACAACACAGGTGGAAAACAGCAGAAGCAGTAAGTGTTCCAGCCTTGCTGTTCGGGATTTTACTCTACATGTTAAAAATTACAGGGGAAAAAAGCACAGTCAACTTTAAAGGCTGAAGACTCCAGCTATGCAAACGTAAAGCAGTTCAGCAGATTTCTCAAGAATTGATTCACCCCCCAAAATCCTTTCCTTTAGCTACAGACACTTTACAGAACTGAAATTCCTACTTACCTCTTTAGTGCCATCCTTGTGAGAGCAGCAACAGTGGGAATTGACAATTACAAATATGGGACAGATCTCTCGCTTTGTAAAATCCATCAGGAAAAGAGAGATCCACACACCAAAAAGAGTTAATTAGGTGCTAGTTTCCGATGGAAATCCACTAGGCTGTGGACTTAACGCACAGCGGAAGGAAAGCAGACGTCTAAGTTAGAAGGGAGCATTGTTTTCTCTTTGACACCTCTTGTACTTTTCCAAGTCCAGTACATGAGGCTGCAGAGATTTGAGCTTAATATCTGCTTTTGCCACCCAAATACTCAATAGGAAAGAATCAATAGAAGCAAGAGGTAAGCGTGGTGTCCTTTTCTGCCTGCCCAGCTGGTTGGACGGAGGAGGAAGAAGAGGCAGAGCAGGGATCCTTTACTTCCTGCGTGTCCCCGCCCCCCGGCGAGGCTGCTCTGCCTCTTCTCCACCCAGGCTTTCTGCAATAGTTTTAAGGCTACACGTAGGATAATCGTCCAGTTCACTCCTGCTGTCAC